TTTTTAAAATTTTTTTTTTTTTTTTTTTTTTTTTTTTTTTTCATTAGTTTAAATTCCACGCAAACGCGTGGTAATTTGTACATATTATCAATGTTAATCGGTACGCAAGGGTGCGTCGCGGCGATCGCGCGTAGCGCGTAAACGCGGGGCTCACCACTCACATCTGATAATGATATCCAGGGCAGGAGCTTTGCCTCCTAACCTGTGACACAAATTCAACTCCTGATCTCATATAATTTCACGGGATTACGTGTTCTTCAGCTCCACCCGGTGATCCGACGCCACGAAGTTTCCATCAAGCTGCATTCATAGGCATACCCAAGATCCCCGACATCTTGGTCCTCGTGCAGCCTCCCGCATCCTCTTCCACAATACTTGTTCCAATATTTACTTTCCAGTCATCCCAGGAAGTAAGAACGATGAAGTATCTCCGAAAAAGATTACTCTTCGGAAGATGTCTCTCGGTACTGTTCTTTAACTTTTTTATCCCCTCGGCCACCTCATCTACCTAACCTAACTGCCTTATTTCTACCATCCAGGTCACGACCCCCAGAATGCATCGACTGTGCTCCAAGTCGTGTATCGATCAATCTCCAGACTGACGTCACCGATCACAGTTTGCCAATACACTAAAAAATTGGCAGTGCGCTCTCTCCAGTTAACTCTCGTCCCTCGTTAATTCGCACTAGAGCTACAAGAGGGCGTCCCGACGCTTTAATTCTCGGTCCGCCATTAACGTGGCGCGACTGTCGCCAGCCTAAGAAACGATCAGCGAAAGCACGTAATAGCATACATTCTAAGCGATACAAAGCGATTGGTGGATGGTAGTTAATATTCCGTCGAAATAAAAAAATGTACACCCAGTATAGACGATGATACAATATATTGTGCAGAGTCATTTGCGCATGCGCTGTACGACACTCACAGAGAGACATCCGTTCGTGGCAATATACTTGTACGACTTGCACGTGTGACAGTTTCGTTAGGTATATTCCGAATATTACTGCCAGTACTGTAACCCACAGTGACCAACGCTGTGTCCTTATTCATCCATACGCATCCGAGAGAGACGTAATTACTTTTACGGTACTGTCAGTAAATTTCGGAACACATCCATTGTTAAATGAAAAAGACGACCGAGTCAACGATAACAAATGAACAACAGCCAGGCGAATAGGATGAATCGCGCTTGAAAGCAAAAGAAAAACCACACATACAATTCACACCGAATACATGCATATTTACTCTACCGTGTTGTGTAACGATACTATTTTATAATATCTGGGCGCGTGTCACGTTCCGAGCATGAGACAGGACAAATAGAATTAGAAATTTGTAAATATTATTAATTATTATTATTATTATTATATTATATTATATTATTATTATATTATATTATTAATATTATTATATCAATTGATAGTTTAATTAATTAAGTGATTATCGTGTTAGTCGGCATAATGTGGATTCATTTTATAATGGTAGATTGACAATTTGAGTATCGAGAGCGAAGAGAGTGAGCAATTGTGCGTGAGTGCCGAGTGCGTGCGTGTACGTATGTGGTATACGTGGATTTTAAGAGAGATACAAAAAGGGGGAGGGGCAGAGAAAACGCTAAGTATTTGATGCGACATGAAAAAAAAAAAAATTGCATTCCCTGCCCTTTGAGATCTACGGTAAAATCATAAGGCCCAGACTCCGCGATGGAATCTGTTGTTCGCGCGAAATACGGAGAATAGGTATAGGGAGGTAAATTTGTATATTTTTTTTTTTTCCTCGTAATGTGGAAAAATACGAGGATGCAGAATCTGTGGCCGCGTGCGTGCGCACCCCTGTCCGAGGACGAAGAAGGGGCGAGATGCCGGCAATCGCACGGCGACGAAGAGAGGCCCTCTTCTTAGAACTTTGAAACGCCACGATGATTAAATGATAAAGATATAATAAACGAATAAATAAAGAGAGATGAAAACAGAATTGACATACAGCGCACGTGTTTTTGTACCGGTCACTACTAACGTTCTACGTACTACTGTGTAACGTGCGTGGGCATACTCGGTGGGCCCGGTGTCTATCTGACAGCCCAGAGTTCCCAATGCGCGACCAATTACATTGAAGGCTGTCGCTTTCGCGACTGTCCGTTATCATTAATTAGAAACTCTCACGAAATGCTCATCGCGACTGTAGCTCGGTTCTTTTGTCTATCCTCATTTGCGTCCTGCTTCTACTCGGCCGAAGACCGCAGTGCGTTGTTGCGAGGCCCAATTTTTATTAATGCCACAGACTTTACGGCGTTACTCGAATAAGGGATAAACACTTTGCCATTTTGTATATGACAATGGCCAACGAGCGACACCATTGCGAACGGACATCGAGTGCACGGGGTCTGGACGGTGGTTTAGTGATTTTTATATATATTTTTTTTTTGAGGAAAGTCAATTTTTATTGCAAATTTTTTTCTTTTGCAACCGTTATGGGCCTTTATTTTTTTGGGCCTTTTCGCATTTATGAAATTTCGTCGGACGCTCCCATAGTGATCGGCGCGCGTCCATCGCCGACCCGTGCACGACGAACTGTCTTGAGACGTGTATATAGTAATACTTTTGTAACGATATCGTAATTAGTAATGAGAATTAACACAACATGTGTTGAAAATTACTCGGATGCTCGTGCAGTTTTCGGGCAGCTGGCGCGTGGGGTGTTTAAGCTAGTCGGCGAAAATGTTTTATGCAAATTTTCAAAACGATTTTTTTTTTTCTTTTTACTTTTATTCAAAATCATCCGTGACTCGATCCTTGCACCTTTAATAGCCGTGAGATGCCCGTTAACGCCGCTGCCCGTCTGCCTATGTAAAACATACGTTGCCTCGACGAGATTCGTCTAATTTATTGAAAATACCAATTAATTACGAACAATTCTAATTGCGCGAGTGCGAGCGAGAGAAAATGACAAAAAGTCAAGCGCTGAGCGAATGAGCTAAGAGAGAGAGGGAGCGAGCGTGTGCTTTCGTGGCTCCTGGCGTCCCACAGGTTTTTAACGTATCTCCGCACTTCGGTATTCAAGGTGAATATATAACTGAGCGAACTGACAACGGAGATAAACGTCAAAAGCCTTTGGCTACGTCATCGCGCCGTTTGACAGTCCGCCGTGTATGTAATTTGCGAGAAAATGTAAAAAAAAAGAAAAATAACCAAGTAAATTTTTTGTGTTAAGCCTGGACTATTGCAACGAGCGATCTCACGTCTATTATTATTATAAGTTACGAGTTTAACGTGGACATTGCCTGTATACATATAGAAAATGGCAAGTCGATAGGAACTTATACGATATGTAATAACGCCTTAATGTTTAACGACGATAACCGTAATAGCATTGTATTTCTTTAAGTTTTAACGATCTTCGGATATATCACGAAATTATGTATGTCGTTTTCTTCCCCCTCTCTTTTTTTTTGAATTACTTTTCGTCTCTTTCTTTAATTATATCGAGTGTTTTTATTCTTTGTCTTCGAAAATTCCTTCTCTCTCGTCCCGGTCTTCTCTTGGAGAATTCTTCGAATGTACGCGGGCGCGCGTACGTGCGTCGGAGACATTGGCGGGGGTCGATTGAGAGAGCGAGAGAGAGGGAGAGAGGAGAGAACTTAGGAGAGAGAATGTATCAATTGACGAATGGCGAGAGTGGAATGTATAAAGCAGGCTGCTGTCTAAAATAGTTCAGGCTGGATGTCGATGTTTGTAGCGGATAAAGAAAAAAACAGCATATTGTAATTAAAATTGAAAATGATTAATCAACGGATTACATTTTATTTTTTTACTTTTTCTTTTCAGTCACCCGCTATACCCGATTCTCGTTGGTCATTCCGGACGCGAATAACAATCTCTGTAAAGGACCTCGCAGTCATCTCCACGTAATCCCGATGATCCTGCATCCCTTACCAGACGATCCCATCCCGAAGATCTATCCAAGGATCTCTCGACGTTTCTGCTACGTATTTATTGTAAAATATAAAATTAGAATTTTTGAAAAAATATTTTTGAAAAATTTTTTTACACAAATTCATATCCTCATTACTTACGTTAAATAATCGGCTATTTGTTTTCCAGCGTTTCCAAGTTCTCGAATCAATTGGCGATTTTGAAGGCACACGATTTTTTGTATGCAACGCACTCGGGCGTCGTCGTTCAAGATTTCTCTCTCTGCCGGATTCTGCGTAAAATTTGTATATTCCGATCAGTACGATTTCCATGTAAAATCTGGTTACTTAAAGGTAGCTTATAGGTCGAAGCAATCTCGTCTTCCATTTACAGTGATAACGGATAGCCGGTGACTTGGTGTTTGAAAATTAGCCTCGTGGATCGCATGGTGCAAAGTCAAAGTGTCAGCTGTAATCATCGTCACGAAAGGAGTCTAAAAGTAAAGTCAGCAGCCTTTGCCAGGAATCCAGGTACAAAGGCACTAGAGGCGCGAGTAACGGCAGGAATACAGTATCTGGTAATTTCTAATCTATTTTGGGTACGTCATAATTTCATATACCGTAGGCTCTAATCCACTCGTCCTTATCAGATCCCTCTTCCTTCTCGTCGACAGAAGGTCGATAAGCACGTCCTTGCGTTTGGCGGCCACTATGGAATTTTGTAGAATCGCAAAGAGAAGCAGCAGACCAATGAAGCCGACGATAACAAAGTGTTTGGCGGTAGGAGCCAGCGAGTGTTCGGCGGGATGCTGGGCGACGTGAAAGTTGTATCCAGTGTTTTCAAAATGATAAGGAAAGTATTCCCTTCTCAATTGAGGTTGATAGAGCCCTACGAGATAGTGAAATAATAAAAATAATTTTTCGTAAAAATTTATAAAATACGAATCGAGTAAAATTTTTCATCACATCACCAGGCATATAGTAACTCGAGGCCGATAACGATGGCGTCCCGACGCCCTGAACTGAGGATGCTTGCGTCACTTCCGGATGACTGGTCCACAAATCAAGTTTCTTATTACCTTCCTCCTGCCTCGCAGGAGCCTCGTTCTCGGCAGCGACCATTTTTCCAAAAATAATCCAAAAAAGGACCCAACGACTTTTTACGACCCTCGGCATGATCAGGTATCGTTATTTTACCTCACTTCCGGTCTGCTCCTGAACTGACAACCGAACTCCCAAGAATCGCTCGTCCACCGGACACAAAGAGGACTCGCAGTTTTAACCATTTTGTTCCGCCTTATTTAAATCAATCCCCATCGCCATTTCGTTCAATTTTATTCGCAACACGCAGCCGCAAAATCTTCCACGCTATGCTGACCATCCTAACCAAGTTCGCGTGTCCCTAATCGACGGCCTTTAACTTTTTCCCATCGTTCCCCCTCGTAACCGGGTGCACCTACGATTTCTAAAGAGTAACAAAAGTCCTAATAAGAATTTTTTTTTAGGTATCCAAAGAAAATTCGCAAGCTCGGCAGGAGCTGCGGAGACGCTCGGCTGCTGAAACGGGGTCGACATTGTCGGCTAAGGGTGGTTGACGGGTGGTTGGAGGGGTGCTGCCGAGTCGTAGGGGTTGCTATGGCGATATCATAGCGAGGCAACCTAGGGATACGTCTGTCTGGAGCCACTGTACAGGGGATGATGTCCTTCGCGCCAATTCATCCCCTTAGAACCCCACGCACTTTCCATCAGCTGTAGATACCTGCGATATAGTCTGTATCGGTGCGTCAGTCGCGTCGCGACGCCCACTTTACTTCTATTTAAGAAATATTATTTTACCTTCGATTATTTAAAACTTTTTTTTTTCTCTATCAACCGGAAGTCCCTTCTCTCATTTTACTTTTCATTTTTTTTCCCTTTACATTTTCTTCACGTACCACCTTTCTAGCGTAGTGGTTTACACGCCTCTAACGGGTGTACCATCAGTTTCCATCCTCCGGCTGTACATTTATTATTATATTAATTACACACGGGCTGGATCTCATATCGTAAGCTGCTCGTATCGAGGTCGGATGGACGCCGCGTAAACCCGTGACACGCTTACGCGTTGACGCGTTCGCTAGAATATTTTTAGCACGCTTTTATCCTATAGACAGCTCTCGATGCTCTTATCGCCATCGTGCAATAGGATGATAGTTGTTTTTTTTCATATCACGTCCAAAAATAATTTCTCGAGGACAAACTGATTTTCATCTTATCCCCCGCCCATAAGCCCTCGTTACCTCACCGTGTGACACTCTTATCTGTCACGTGTATTTATTATAGATAATTCCTCTACGGAGGATAAATCGATCAGATCATTTTTCGTTGACCCCTTACAATACGTCGTTACGCCAAGTTTGCCAACGTGTCGCAAATTTTTCTCGAAAGTCACGATTAAATTGCTACCAGGTATAAGGGTTAATTCGAATGCCTTCCCAGTACTGCGGGCAACCCGATATCTCCATGAATTTTTATAACTGTTCTAGCTCACGCAACAGTCGTCCGACCATCACGTGGCACTTTATACTTTAGTTTGAATTTTAGGAAATTCAATATAATTCCCTAGCACAGAGTAATCCCCACTGTGGAAATGGAATATGGCTTCCTTTTTTTTATCACTGATACACCGACGGGTTTTCTGGGTCAGCCGACAAATAGAAAATTGTCTATGGTCTCCGAAGACCTTGAGCGTCTACAGTGCCTTCGGAGGAGCACTGTTCGAATGCCCGCAGGTTGCGCGTTCTAGAATTTATTTCTGTGCTGCTTCTCAATAGAGCCATCGATAGGGTTTATGCTTTATCGATAGCATTGGTATGTCAATATCATTCCTCGTTACGGATACCGTATAGATTCCACGACTGTATTTAAGTACCCTACGTAAGGGAGGTATAACTGTCACATAATAAAATTTTAATTAATTCGATAATCCAACCTCGTTTGCAGGTCTGACCTGATCCAGATTTTTTCCACTTGGCGGATCCCCTCGTTCACTTACCACTTTCCCACAAAAATCCAATGTGTCTAATCAGCACTCGACTGCTCCCCACGATAGCTTCCAGGGTATAAATATTTTTAGATTGGTATAGGACGCGAAAAACATCAAGTTTACCTTTACGTATTCTCATTAAAATACAAAAAAGCTCCGAGTGTTTGTTTGACAGAGCCACGAGTTTCCCACGTGATCGTGGCGTGTCTGGACTATCGCATGTTGGTCAGCCTTGCGATAAATTTTTCCAAGACTCGTACGGGGTTATCGAGCTCGAACGGATCTGTCAGATTTGACAGCTGTCATCGCTTTCACCAGGAATTCCAGCAGAGCGCAAACGCCACGTGACAGCTGTCAAATCCACCTTTCAGATATAAACTAGAAAACCCTATAAATTTCTTGTTCCTAGGTACAATTACAAAATTACCCCTAACGTCCACTTTCTTGATAACCCCCCCCCCCCCACCC